AGAGAGAGAGAGAGAGAGAGAGAGAGAGAGAGAGAATCCCAAGCATGCTCTGCACTGCAAGTGCAAAGCCTGACACGGGACTCGAACTCACAAACTGCGAGATCATCACCTGAGCCTAAGCTGGACACTTAACCAACTGAGCCACCCGGGTGCTCCCAGAAGGGTTCTTGTCAGCTTTCCGACAACGTAGATTTCAAACTTTTTAAGTGTACTTATAAAATCACTTTCAACAAACTTATTTATTTATTTAGAACTGGCACGAGCACGCATGGGCAAGGAAGAGAGAGAATCCCAGGCACAGGCTTCACACTGAGTGTGGGGCCTGAGGTGGGACTCCATCTCATGACCTTGAGATCATGACCTGAGTCGAAATCAAGAGGCAGACGCTTAACTGACTGAGCCCCCCGGGTGCCCCGCGACAAACATTTCTTAAACATCTGCTCTGTGCAGATACTCCAGATGATTCTGATTCAGATGGTCTATTTCTTTAGACCGTTGACCTATTATGGTCTATGTAGTAGGTCAACGGTCTAAAGAAATCAGACGACTTTAACCAGTAAGTAATAACGTGAAACAAGTCTACAGCCGCAAGTAGAAACAGACCCATGCAACCATATTCTACCTTTGTAGCTTATCAAGGGGACAAGTGGAAACAAAAACAAGCTTTTGGTCCCTGGTCATCATAACAGGAATTATCCGTTCTCCACCCCAGAATCCTGATGATCACCTTCAACAAGAGAGTGTTGCACATGGCCGATGGTACATGGTAAATTATTTCACAACCCAAGTTATTACTGAGTTCCCAGAAAGCCTCCACATTATTTATGTTTTCTGTAAAATAATCCTCAGTTCCAAGTAGGAGGGAACTTTGCATTAAATGATGATACTGCACTTTGGGACATGTATCCTATTAGCATGTATCATATTAGTATATTATCCCTAATACAAAAATCCCATCTGTTAGTTTAATGCAAAGCTTTACTTTCTCCTCACTTATAACTTACAGAAAGACATGTTGAACAAGTTAGTTATGTCAATACATGTCTGTTAAGCCCATGAGCTGAATTGCAAAAGGATTGGAAAAAAACTTTTAAATGCTCTGCTTAGCCGCCGCTGTGTTAACATTGCTGACCCAATTAAAAACATACAAGGACAATTCTGTATTGGTAACATTTTATATGATTTACATGACATGGTACCTTAAAGGGGAGCCAAAATACGTGTTTTGATGTTTCAACAGTGATTTCTGGCAGAGCGAGTAGGATCCTCAAGCTAATCAGAGAGCGAGCCGTCTTTAAATCTGGATTGGGAGATTCTCGGCGTAAGAGAGAGACCGAGCACAAAAGTTCGGAACGCAGTGAATTTCGGTGATGTCCTTCACACCTTGGGGTACCAAGGAATCTTGCTAGTGTGAAGACTGATATGTCCAAAGAGAAACCGCCCCAGGGAGTTGCTGACTTGACCTTGCAACTTTCAGCCAGACGGCCCACCAAACAGCTGCACCGAATAAGACCGCGCTTTGGCTCTCCCTTTGCTACACGAGGAAACCTCACGGACAGACCCTCTTATCTCGTTCCAGGGCTTGTTCCTTAGTTCCTGCTCCATCCCTGCCTTTACTCGGCTTCAGACTTTTCAGCTCTGTTTCCTGTTTTCCTGCTGCCAGTCCCACACCTGCACTGTGGACAGATTTGGACACTTGAATACTTGGCACTTTGTCTCAGATACAGTTTGAACTCGCTCTCTGGTACGCGTGCCTTTGGCTACCCCTCCATCCAACCTCTGGTCTCTAGGAGTTCTCTGCTTGGCCAGTGCATCTGCTAGACTCAGTCCTGCCCAACCACAGCAAAGCACAGTCCGGACTATAACGTGCAGGTGCTGTAGCAGTCACTCAAGGGGGGCTCAGTGATGTTTACGTAAGCAGCGGCCTCAAATGCTCTGTGTTCTAAAGCAAACATTTGTTTTTTGGCTTAGTTTACACGCCCATCATAGGCCTGCCATGACTCTGCTCCAAATCACCCTCATTCAGAGGCTATCCCTCGTTCTGGTGGCTGGGTGAAGAAAGCATGTTGCGGGGGGGGCAAAGATATTGCTAAATAATATTAACTGTAACCATAGGCACCATTTTTTTAATGTTTGTTTTGCAGAGAGAGAGAGAGAGAGAGAGCAAGAGCAGGAGAGGGGTTCCCTTTTGAGAGACAGAGGCAGACAGAGGATGTACAAAGCAGGCTCCGTGCTGTCAGCAGAGAGCCCGACGTGGGGCTCAAAGTCACGAACCACGAGATCATGACATGAGCCGAAGTGGGATGCTAAACTGACTGAGCCACCCAGGCACCCCCAAAGGCACTATTTTTAAGCCACAATTTTCTGATCTATTGGTTCATGGAACTGGAATATTGACTATAGTGTTGGTTGGCAATATCTGCTAACTCTTACTAATCCCCAGAGAAAGCTTTGACTTAAGGTTTAATCAACACATGAAGGGACTGACTGAGAAGAGCTAGGTCCTTAATAAAGGAACTTTTTATGCTATAACTACTGTCGTTAGTAGAGACACATTATTAATAACAGCTAGTGTTTCATTTATCAGGCATACTATGTGCCTTAGAAGTATGCTTCTAAACTCCTTACGTATATTTGTTGAGTCCTTTAGTAACCCTGTGGTGCAAGTTCTTTTTATTCCCTTTTTGTAGACAAGGAAACGGAGTCACAGTGATGTTTAGCAGTGTGCTCAGGGTCGACAGCTATCATGCTTTACCAGATGCTAATTTAACCTTTAAATTGTTAACACAGGGGCGCCTAGGTGGCTCAGTCAGTTAAGCGTCTGACTTTGGCTCAGGTCACGATTGGCAGTCCAAGAGTTCAAGCCCTGCGTCGGGCTCTGTGCTGACAGCTCGGAGCCTGGAGCCCGCTTTGGATTCCGTGTCACCCTCTCTCTCTCTGCCCCTCCCCTGCTCGCACTCTGTCTCTCTCTCATAAATAAATAAACGTTAAAAAAAAAATTTTAGATTGTTAACATAAGAGTATAATATAGTTTGAGTCTTCCACTAACTCCAGGGTTTCCATGCTGGTTTACCATGAACCCTTCGGCTTGTTACGTCTAAAGCAGTATCTGTCTCTAGGTTTTAGTCCAGAGAGCATTTCTGGCACATGGCACGAAGGAATGGAGTGTGTGTGTGTCGGTGGGGGGATGGACAGGACTTGGCTTCTGGCGAGAGTGTAGAAAAGTCAAAAGAGGGCATCATTCTCACCCTCACCACCCAAACAAGCCTGAGCAGCTACAAAATCAAAGCTGTATACAATCCATCTAAGAATGGGGAGTGCAAAGCAACCTAGATGAACCAATGTCCAGAGGACAATTTGCAGGTGAGGAGAGAGCTATAGCCTCTCTTTCAGAGCAGAATGACGGGGGGAGAGGAAATCCAGATCAAGAGGGATGAGGAGAAACTAGCCAGGGTTGTAGTGGGAGTTCAATGGCCACTCGTGGTCTGGCGAGACAGACAATGCCAAGCAGCTCAGTCACAGAGTCGGTCAGCACGGACCCGTCAGACCATTCCCACGGTTTGTCACCCAGTGTTCAGGGGTATTACGTCAAAGGGCTGGGACAGGGCCAAAGAAGGATTTTCCTGAGGTGACCAGGGCCTTTCCCAAGGGCAAGGCAGCCATCTCCATAAGCAGAAGTGAGAAAAAGGCATCAGAGGCACTCTGGGCTGAGATACTGAAGGCAAGGGGCTTGGCACATAAGTCGAAAGGAATCCGTCTGTGACGCTCCCACACATCGACAGTTAACAAAACAAAACGAAACAAACAAACAAAAAAACCTCAGTAAAATTGAGCAAAAGAGCTGCCCGAACAGACCCTTCACAAATGAAGATTATATGAGAAGCAAGTAAGTACGTGAAATAGTGTCCCACACCATTAGTTACCCAGGAAATGCAAATTAAAGCAGAACTTGAGAGACTGACATCAAATATTGGCGAGGATACGGCACAGCTAGAATTCTCATACATTTCTAGCCCGAGTGTAAAATAGTACAACCACTTTGAAGGGCTGTTTGGCAGTTATAATATATAATATTATATATAATATAATAGTTAAATGTACGTCTGTCCTAAGAACCAGCCAATTCCACTCCTATGTAATTAGCTAAGGTGAATGAAAATACGTGTCCACAGAAAGACTTGTTCACAAATGATCAAAGAACTCTTATCAATAAGCTCAAACCTGGAGACTCCCTATATGTTCATCAACAGGTAAGGGGCTAAAGTTTGTTACGTTCACACAACACAATCCTACTGAGCTATAAACGATGTGATACGTAATAACCAACATGGATGATTCGTAAAAAACATTATGCTGAGTAAATGAAGCTCAAAAATGGGCAAAATAATGTACGGCGATGAAAATCAAACTAGTAGAGGACAGTAGTTGAATTAACCAGAAAGGGGCACAAGGGAACTCTCCAGGATGATGGAAATGTTCTATGTTTTGTTTTGGATGGTTAACACACGCAACCGTTACTTAACTGAAAAGAAGATTTGTGCAATTTATTGTGGCTTAGTTATACTGCCTTTTAAAATAGACCAGGTCAAATATCATTATTTCTGAACACTGAGAATGAGTCGGTGTCAGTCCATGATACAAGAGTTAAAAGCCAGGTCCTGTAGGCCACCCAAGGTCAACAGAAAACAATCACAGCACTTCTCTTATTCATAGCACTTAACAGTCAGGTGCAGACACGACAGGACTTGCTACAAAAAAAAAGGCACAACCCCACACCTAATGAGTGATCGTATCCTTCCATCTGTCTCTAGCCAGAGTTATCTACTGCTGATTCACCCAAAACCTACAGATGAGTCACTGCCGTAATCTCTGTGTCAGCCTGTAATTGTCCAGGGTCAGCCCTTAAAGCACTGGGGATTCCCGCTCTAACCACACAGAGCTTATCAACTACGTGGCTTGCTAGAACTCTACCATTAACTGCTCAGTGATCTCATTATTGCCCTTTCTGGTCTTAACTTCTCTATGCAAGTCCGTGCAAAGGCTTTCCTGCGAGGCTCCTTGGAAACTCTCAGAAACGACTATGGGCACAGTGACGGGGAGGGATAGGATGCGATGGGGTGACTCTAGAGGAGAACATACGCACCTTCCAGTCTAAATTCCGCCTAAGATAGACTTCTCGCGCTTCAGTGTGCGTAGGAATCACCAAGGAGTATTGTTAAAATGCAGATTCCGATTTGGTAGGTCTGGAGTGGAGCCCAAGATTCTGCATTCCTAACAGGCTTCCAGATTATAGGGTTTTGCTGGTCCATGGTCCACACTGAGCTGTAAAGACCAGGTCTTATTTTCTCTGTGGTTATGTACTCTGTTTCTAGAAGGTACCTCTCTCTGTGTGCGTTTTCTCAGTCCAGGCTTCAATATTCGACTGCTTTAGGTTCAAAAACATGCAAGCTAGAGTCCCAGTAACGGACAAAGGATAGTTCTCGGAATCTAAGCGTTCTGGAAAGGCATTCTAATTTTCATTCATTAGCTCAAAATCAATGTATTAAATCAAAATCCTGCATCTTCTCTGATGTATTCACATCATCAATTTGTGGGACTCCCACTGACCAGCAGCTCCCACAGAGCAGGCAACAGACCTTCCAGAATCATCTGGGACCAGAGCAATGGACCACATGCAACACCTCTCAACACTTCAGCTCACCTTGGTTAGCAGGAGCACTCTGCCTGATGGTCCGGGAAGGAAGGAAGAATGCAGGTTGCTGAGTCCCTCCCTGGAATGGGCAAGAGCCTACTTCCATAGTCAGGTGGGGGAAAACAGCCTCTTTCCCAGTGACTGCTGGGTCCAATGTTGCTCCTCAGACAGATACAGAAGAAAACAGATTTTTGCCCCCAAGTGACCTTTGGGCAACAGCATTACAAGAGATAGTAAAATTATGATAGTATATTTGGCCTTCCATGGGGACAGATTTTGAGTCTTAAATCTTCTTTTCTTTAAATATTTTTAAATTTATTTTGAGAGAGAGAGCGAGAAAGAGAGCGTGCACACAAGCGGGGAGGGGCAGAGAGAGAGGGAGAGACAGAATCTCAAGCAGGCTGTGCACCATCAGCACAGAGCCCAATGGGGGGCCAGGGCTCGAACTCACAAACTGTGAGATCATGACCTGAGCTGAGGTCAAGAGTCAGATGCTTAACTAGCTGAGCCACCCAGGAGCCCATTAAATATTTTTTTAAAAATTTAAGTTAATGGGGTGCCTGGGTGGCTCAGTCGGTTAAGCGTCTGACTTCCTCTTGGGTCACGGTTCGTGGGTTCGAGCCCCGCATCGGGCTCTGTGCTGACAGCTCAGAGCCTGGAGCCTGCTTCGGATTCTGGGTCTCCCTCTCTCTCTGCCCCTCCCCTGCTCGTGCACTGTCTCTCTCAAAAATAAAATGAAATAAATAAAATAAAATAAAATAAAATAATTTAAGTTAAAATATTATCTCTCTGCAAGAGTTCCAGACCTTCTTTAGAAAAACACACTTGAATTACTGAATCTAAAGAATTCGGAATATTCATAATCTCTCCAACCATTTTATTTAAGCATGTGTTTTCTCATTCAGAATGAAACTTTATATGTAAAAGAAGAAATACCAGTACTGAATGTGGTATGATATTCAAGAGTTACTGCAATTGATCTGGTGCATCGCCAATCGGATCGCTGCCATTACTCCTTGGGCACACAAATACTTTGCCAAAGAAACACAACCAACTAAAACGTCCATGCAACACACAACATGGCAGCAAGAGCAGTCCACAATCTGCCCATAGTGTTACGAGTTTAAGGGGATGAGCCAGTCACAGTGAGATGAAGGTTAGGAGTTTTAGGTTTTGCATAACCAGCTGAAAATGTGAAAATGAAGTCTAAACGGAGGAAGCCAGCGACATACTCCCTGCAAGCTTCAGGGACCCACGTGAACAGCACGTACAGGACATCCGCACGGCAGTCCGGGTATTTATCAGGAAGCAGGGGCATTGAGGAGTTTAGCTGAGACATTTTATGACAGCCGTTCAAGACTGTGGGAGTTCCTGCTCCTAAAAAGAAATTCAACGCTACCCAACCTCGCAACACAAGCATTCACCTAGGACCGGCCCAATCTTTTGGCGGTGATTACAAAATGTATACTCTCAGGCAAGCCTGATTTTCCTAACATGGAGTTGAGCTGAAGAGTCAGTATTTCTCTCCACACTCGAAGTGAGAAGCCATAAAACTGAGAGGTGATCATGGATCTGAGGATAATCAGAGCTGAACTGAACTCGGACAGAGAAGCCGTGGGCTTCTTTGCAATATAGCGTGACCACCACCACCACTGTCATCACTGCACCCCATCGCTGTCACCACCAGAACCACCACCATCACCATTATCGCCACCGTCCTATGCTACTGCTGTACAGAAAATCGTAGAAGCTTTATTGAAAGGAATTTTGGCAGGAACTGTTAAATCTTAAAAATTCATATCCCATTTGAATCATCGATTTCTCTCTGAGGTATCTGTCCTGCAGAAATACTTATACAAAAAAAAAATGCATGGAAAAAAAGCTCAATATTATAAAAATGTCAATCCTTGCCAATAAAATTCTAATCAAAGTCCCAATAGGATTGATTTTGGGCAAATTGACAAACTGACTCTAAAATTGAAATAGAAACGTTGTTTGAAACAAGGAAAAATTACGAACACTCTAAGGAATTTCAAAGACAAATTTGTTTAACGAATGTTTATCAAATACCTATTATGTGCCAGGTACAATTTTAGCCAAAGGGATAAGCGAATAAAACCTCACCATGCTCTTTCTAGGGAACACTGCGCTGCATATGATAAGAATAAAATACAACTAATTAACTGATGTGGAAAAACCTACAAGATATACTGGGAAGGTTACAAAAGTCACGGAACAGTACGTGCAGCAGAACGCTGTCTTCTAAAATTCATCTGGAGCTGAGCATGTAAATATATGAATGCACAGAAGATAATCTAGGGAGGTATCTTACTGAGAGGCAATGGATGATTACTTCTAGAAAGGAAAGCAGGATTGAGTAAATCATGGACAATGTTGGCTTTGTGTAATATCTGGATTTCTTCAAGTAGAATGTGTTTATTGCATGCATACCTAAACTATACCAGGTTACCTGAAAAATACTGACGAAGCATTCCTTGTCACAATCTGGCCTAGAATATATTATACTTAATAGAATGTTTACAAATACCTTCTCATTTTTGTTGGCCATTTTCGAGGACTTCAATTTCTGTAGGCTGATGGTAGACGAAGTGGGCTTTTGATAAAAGAAAAGGAAGGAAGGCAAGTGGCAGGTGGTTAAGAAAGAGAGAGAACAAACCAGGATGCTGCTTGTCACCAGTCAGACTTGGGGGTTAGTCCCTGTTGTGGTACCTGATAAACCTGTGTGTTCTCGGAATGTATACTTTTAATAGCAAGTAACAGGAGGTCTAGCAAAAAGTCGCTTCAACGATAGAGATTTGTTAACGCACACAACTAGAAATCCAGGAGCAGAACAGTGGCCGGCAGGACAACCCCTACAGCTCTCCTTTGGCATTTTCCTCATGGTTGCAAGATGGCTGCTTCTGCTCCAACAAAGCACCACACCCTTACAAGATGGCAGTCCAATGTAAGAAGGAATGAGGTCTTTTATTTGTACAGGTCTCTACTTTATCAGGGAGGATAGGTTTTCACAGCATTCCCCACAAATTTCCCCTTTCATTTAATTGGCCAGAACCATGTCACATGACCACCCCTCAAATCAGTTACTGGAAAAGAGGTAGAATAATCAGGTTCGACTTAAGTCCAGTCACATTTCATATCACGAGACTGAGTCCTCCTTCCCTGAGCATATAACTTTACCTGCTACCCACGATAATTCTGGGTTCTGCTCTTAATGAAAGAGAAAAAAAGACTGGAGTGCCTGGGTGGTGCCTCAGTTAACATCTGACTTCGGCTCAGGTCATGATCTCAAGGTTCATGAGTCTGAGCCCTGCATCAGGCTCTCTGCTGTCAGCACAGAGCCTGGACCCTGCTTCAGATTCTGTATCTCCCTCTCTCTCTCTGCCTCTTCCCCATTCTCTATCTCTCTCAAAAATAAACATTTTTTAAAAAAAGATAAAAAAGAAATCACTATTGGGGCGCCTGGGTGGCTCAATCGGTTGAGTGTCCGACTTCGGCTCAGGTCATGATCTCACAGTTCGTGAGTTCGAGCCCCGCGTCGGGCTCTGTGCTGACAGTTCAGAGCCTGGAGCCTGCTTCAGATTCTGTGCCTCCCTCTCTCTCTCTGCTCCTCCCCTGCTCACATGCTGTCTTCTCTCAAAAATAAATAAAGATTAAAAAAAAATTTTTAATATAAAAAAACTAAAAAAAAGAAATCACTATCGAACAGCCAAT